CCGTCAAATATAGCTTTATTTGGGGGAGTCTTTTTCAAATAATGTCTTTAAGACCGTTTTTACACATCAGAAACCTACTATTTTTTTTGTCGTGAAGAGGATTTTTAAATGGCCCTTCCTTGCTAACGACCTTTGATGCCTTCACCTTTTTAATGTCTTGTTTCTACTTTAAATAACATTGGAATTCTTCTCTCCTTTTTTTCTTTTCTTTCACAGTCGTATTTCCACTTTCCTCCATTTTCAACAATATAACATTTTTTTATAATTATAATGCTATATGATAATTGTTTTGTCCGGAGGATTTAATTAAATATCTAAGACCTTTCTAAGAACTTCCAAGGCTATTAGCGGCTCAGAATGATTTACAAGATTCCTTAAGCTCAGTACAGAATATTCCAATGCAACCTTACTTTACAGTTTACAGTCATTCAATTTTGTAGAAAGTTAAACATATAACAAATTTAACCAGAGATCAGTTGAAAAACAATTCAGTAAATCAGTTAGAAAAAAAGCTAGAGATCCATATATTATCAAAACGACCCATTTACACAAACCACGAGTCGCTAACTTTTATTTTCGAAAATATGTGCACTATGATTCTAAATAATATGTGTTCTAAAGGGTTAATGTTCGATTTTATTATGAAAGTTGTGGAGTTAAGACCGGTCACTAACGTCGATCAAAAGCAAAACAAGACTCCATCAAACTAACACATAAATATCTTCTCTATCGTAACAACTTTTACTTTTTATCTTAGAAACATGATCCCCAATGAAGACAAAAGCAACAAATACAAGTGACTATTTTCACAACTTGTTTTGGTCCCGGACCGGGACCGAAGAAAACATGCATGGTTTGTAAAACCAATAACTTATTGCTGGTTTCGTAAAAGGTTATACAATTAGACTTGTTTCCAAGCTTAATATTTTTTATTTTATTGTGTTGATCAGTAAAAAAGGAAAAGCAAATATGTATTATGAATAGGATAAGGTCGGACCATTAGTCAAAACATTCTACAACTTGAGAGAAAACCCTAAAGGCTATATCAACCCATGTGCCGTGCGCGTGCGGGCTAACATGAAAATATCATATACTTTATACGACTCATGAAAGTTACTCATCTTCGACTTTTTATGTTTTAGACAATGCTACTTTCTTATTTCCTACACAAACTATATTACATATCCCTTTTTCAATTATCATAAAGCACCTAAATTTTCAATTTGAATATCAATATGCAATACAGATTATCAGCTTTTTATAGAAAAAAATATTTATCCACTAAAATTATATTAAAGGTGACAGGTTTCTTAATAGTCAAGAAAAAGAGAAGAAAATAAAAAGACACACTTTGAAAAAAGTTTTAGGTCGAAAAATAGATAATTCCGAAAAAGTAATAATGGATTCATAAGCACAAACAAAAAAGGACCAAGAGTTAGTATTTCACAATTTATAGAATACTGTTAGGCGCACATTAGGTGTTCGAACGGTGTTTAGCGTGTAGTCTGTTTATTGATTAGTTGATGATTTCAATTTTATTTAATCTAAATGGCTAAACGTGAAACTTTAGAAATGTTTTGTTATTTTACAATCAACTAAACCGTGTGAAAGTTGTAAATAAATGATGTAACAGCCAGTGAAGTTACACTTCGGGAGAAATCGTGGCCAGCTCATTTTTATCCCCTTTTTCAAATTGCT